TGCTAAACTTCAGAAGCTAAAATTTCGAGTTGTTATAAGTAAATAGAAAATTTGCATTATAGACAAATAATTATTTTCAAGTTCCTTTGCATTTGAAAGATGACATGATTTTAGATACTTATGTCCGATAATAGACTCTTCCATAAAATAAGTGTGTTGGGTAATTAGTAGTATTGTAATCTCAACAAATTTTATGGTTAGAAATTAGGGTTAGGCGTATGGTAGGACCAGGGTTAGGGTTAGGGACAGGGTTAGCATTGACATTATCCAGCCATGTGTGTATTTAGTTAACTACCAGCAACCTAACACCCCTTTTTAAAAGAAGATTCCATTATCGGACACTGGTAAAAAAAATTCCCCCGAAAGATGTATAACTTTGATCTTTAAGATATTAATATTCATTTATTTCTTTTAGTTTATTATAATACGGCGCTAAATAGAAAAAAAGAACCAAAAAAATCGTTTTAGTTCGCGTCAACAATAAAGATGGCGACCCCTTCAGCAAACACGGCGGATGCCATTAGCCCTAGCAACGATTCCCACTCCCATTGTAGTGATACCGATACCTTTCTTCCTCACTGAATTCCAACGCGATAGGCTTCATTACGTAACGTCCTAATTAATCAACGACCTGCCCTCCCCCTCCAAACCGTCGTTAAACAAACGGGTCAAGCCGAATAGTTTTGAAGGCGCCCTGGTTTATAAATACAAATGACAAGTCCGGTTTACTAAGACCGATGTCAAGAAACGGCATACAAAAAGATTCGACAAGTCTATAAATATATATTGCACGAAAGGTCTATAAATACATTTGACAAGTCGGGTCTACAAAAATACTTGACATGAAATCGCATAGAAATAGACTTGACAAGATCTGACCTGCAAATAGACTTGACAAAATATCTCATACAAATAGACGTGACAAGATCTGACATACAAATAGACGTGACAAGAGCTGACATACAAATAGACTTTACAAATATACATGACAATATCTGACATACAAATAGACTTTACAAATATACATGACAATATCTGACATACAAATAGACTTTACAAATATACATGACAATATCTGACATACAAATAGACTTGACAAATATACATGACAATATCTGACATACAAATAGACTTGACAAATATACATGACAATATCTGACATACAAATAGACTTTACAAATATACATGACAATATCTGACATACAAATAGACTTGACAAATATACATGACAAGATCTCTCCTACAAATAGACTTGACAAATAGACTTGACAAGATCTGACCTACAAATAGACTTGACAAATAGACTTGACAAGATCTCTCCTACAAATAGACTTGACAAGACCCAGATCTACAGGCATATATTTTAATGACTCCATTATTTTCCCATAGTGTTTGATTACCCCCTATCTGTGTGTGCCATCTGTTTTTCAACACGGAACACATTTTCTCGTCCGTTTTTACTACACCGTGGAAGAAATCAATGCTCTAGGTTCAAGAAATGACTTCATAATCATGCGACTTATTAACAATGTGCTAGAAACCTATAGGCCTATCTGTTTTTTTCTAGGGTCGGGGGTGGAGTGTAAACGGTGGGGGGGGGGGGGGGGGAGATTGTAAACTAACAGAGAAGACGCAACTTAGTTCAGTAATAGCATTACTCAAATTAGAGCCCGCCCTTGAATTAGAAAAGCTCCCTTTCGAACCTGACGGTCCATTTAGCAGGTGAAGTAGAGTCCGCTTTTGAAAATCTTTTGTACATTTTAGCAATAGAGTGCCTCCCTACCTCCCTGCCCCACCCCACGGGGACCGACATGTAGGTAGATACGCCGATGTAGAAGGCTGATGAGTGAACGATTGGACGTGTGTATCAAGGGGTTGGGACGATTTTATCTGTGACGTGATCTGTTTTATTCAATCTCTTCAGATCTGTGTTGCTTGTTCTAGGTCTAATAGGGCGGCAGCTATGTTGTCAAGTTTTTACAGTTATATGTTGTCAAGTTTTGAGCGTTTTTAGTTAAATGTCTAGTTTTGAATGTGTTCATTTATATGTTTTCAAGTTGTGAGCGTGTTTAGCTATATGTTTTTAAGTTAGGAACGTGTTCAGTTTTATGTTGTCAAGTTTTGAATGTGTTCATTTATATGTTTTCAAGTTTTGAATGTGTTCATTTATATGTTGTCCAGTTTTGAACGTGTTCATTTATATGTTGTCAAGTTTTGAATGTGTTCATTTATATGTTGTTAAGTTTTGAATGTGTTCATTTATATGTTGTCAAGTTTTGAATGTGTTCATTTATATGTTGTCAAGTTTTGAATGTGTTCATTTATATGTGGTCAAGTTTTGAATGTGTTCAGTTATATGTTGTCAAGTTTTGAATGTGTTCATTTATATGTTGTCAAGTTTTGAATGTGTTCATTTATATGTGGTCAAGTTTTGAATGTGTTCAGTTATGTGTTGTCAAGTTTTGAATGTGTTCATTTATATGTGGTCAAGTTTTGAATGTGTTCATTTATATGTTGTCAAGTTTTAGATGTGTTCATTTATATGTTGTCAAGTTTTGAATGTGTTCATTTATTTGTTGTCAAGTTTTGAATGTGTTTAGTTAAAAATGGTCAAGTTTTAAATATGTTCAGATATATTTTGTAACGTTTTGAGTATGTACAACTATATTTCAATTTTTATATATGTACAACTAAATGTCAAGTTTTATATATTTGCAACTATGTCAAGTTTTGAATGTGTACAGCTATATGTTGTCAAGATTTAAATGTGTATAACTATATGCGTACAGCTAATTGGTGCATTGTTTTTAAAATACATACAGATAAGTCTCGTCAAATTAGAATGTATGTACGACTACATATCGTTCATTATTTGATATACGTAGAGCAACAAATGATCAAGTTTTAGCGTATATACGGCTATGTCTTTTCAAGTTTCTTGATATTAATCCAGCACGACCGAGAAGATAATTACACACCTACCGTTTAATTATTAATTACTAATATATAGATTACCCGTACACAATGATTATATATTAAATACACGTACAATGATGAACAGACAACAGGGAGCAATCAGATCAATATTTACTGATCAAATCAATATTTACTGATCAAATCAATATTTAAGGATCAATATCACAGACAATCGAACTGTACCAGCGGGGCTATGCAGGATCACAACTAGATATTTCCTGCAATACCCAGCTGTACCACAGGGAACAATGTAATCGATGATTCATTAATAGACAGGTATGCAAACAATTGTAAAACAATACTAAAAAAAAAACAAGCATCCGTATCTTGGTTGCTATGGTTACAAGACTCAAAAATGGTTATCAAAAAAGAATAATTCACATGTTTTAACATTCAAAAAAGCTTTTAAAATATTTTTTTAACATTAAATTGATCGAATTGATTCGTTTTTTTTTTAAATATGGAGATATGTATCGGATTGTGATTCTCGCAATCTGGTTTTAGCCCTCAGTTCAGTTGTACAACTCTTTTTTTTTTTCAAATGTGGACAATGAGGTATAACACTTGGTCTTATCGTGGATCAAAAATGGGCTGTAACATTTGACCGTGCGTGAGTAGGACATTCAGATAACTGAGTAGCGGGTGTTGGGGTGTTGTTTGCTGTCGTGGGTTCGAGTCCCTGCAGGGAAGACACATTTTAACACTGTCGTATTTTGTGTTGAGTGGGGAGACTTGTCACAAAATCGGTCACAAAGACTTGTCACGCAAAGCTTGTCACAAAACTCGTAACGAAACTTGTCTAAAATAAAAACTTGTCACGAAAGTTGTCAAAAAAATTTGACACACAAAGCTTGTCCCAAAACATATCATAAACTTGTCTAAAAAAATACTTGTCACGAAAATTGTCACCCAAAATTTGTGACAAAATTTGGCATAAAAAAAATGTCAGAAAAATTGTCACATAACATGACGCGGTAGTTACACACACAGAATTATGTTACAAGTCACTGTTATGGTTTTTTCTAATCAGGGACGTAGCCAGTTTTTGTTGTTGTTTTTTTGTGACGGGGGGGGGGGGGTTGAGGGGTAGCTGCCTCAAGTATGTCAGCACATGTATTTTGTCTACACATGGAGGCCTTTGTGTGCACTTGTATTATGTCAGCACTTGTATTATGTCACACATCAATGTGTACACTTGTATTATGTAATCACGTTTAGTATGTCAACGTTTGTATTTTGTCAAAAGACGTAGTAAGTCAACACATGTATTATGTCAGCACTTGTATTATGTCATTACATGTATTATATCAATACATGTATTATGTCAGTTCATGTATTATGTAAGCACTTGTATTATATCATTACATGTATTATGCTTTGGTGAAACAAATAACTCACGGGGACCGACATGAATACAAATTTATAACAAAGTAATAATACATCTTAATTAAGTAAGTAACAAACTCATACAATAAAAATCGTGTATGAAAGGATGAAAAATATGAAGTCATGAGATAATCATTATGCAAAATTACATAGTCTAAGGACGATGATATGTGTATATGTGTATAAAAGCAATATCACATCATGCGTTCTGTCTGTACATCACATTTTAGTGTGTGGAGACAAAGCAAGTTGGTGTGTTAACACATCACAACTTGGTGTGTCGACACATCACAATGTGGTGAGTAAACACATCACAATTCAGTGTGTGAAAACATCACGACTTGGTGTGTCGACACATCAAAACTTGGCAACACATCACAATTTGGTGTGTTAACACATCATAATTAGGTGTGTCAACACATCACGACTTGGTGTCAACACATCACATTTTGTTGTGTCAATACATGACAATTTGGTGTGTCAACACATCACAGTTTGGTGTGTCAGCACATCACAATTAGGCGTGTCAACACATCTCATCTTGGTGTGTCAACACATCACAATTAGGCGTGTCAACACTTCTCATCTTGGTGTGTCAACACATCACAACTTGGTGTATCAACACGTCACAATTAGGCGTGTCAACACATCTCATCTTGGTGTGTCAACACACCCACCACAATTTGGTGTATCAACACATCACAACTTGGTGTGTTCAGTCAGTGGGTTCCTTATTGAACCATCCTCACACAAATCCAGCACGAAGCTGTTCTTCTTCTTCAAGTCCTTGACATGAAATATATTCTCCGACTGTCTTAAATCCTGGAGCTCTAGCTCATCGTCTGTGTTCGTCTGGTGGTACAGCGTACTCACCCGCGTCGGCCCGTCGCCATGGAAACGTTTCAGGAAATTTATCTTCGTGAACTGACCCCCGGTATCGGAATCATCGATGTCCTTGTAGTCTGGAGATTCCTGTTTTCCGGACAGGTGGTCGGATTGTTGACCGGGTTCCGAGCGAACGAGGCCGTTGTCGCATTCCACGCACCAGCGGATGTTGTCGCTGTCGCTGCTGTCGGAGGTGATGACGACGTGGTTGTGGCTGTCCTCGGCGTCCACGGTGAAAGCCTGCACGAGATTCTCTTCTTCATCGTCGTCGTCGTTGTTCTCTCCCGCGTCTTTCCGCTTCCGCCGCGCGTCGTCGTTGACGTACGCGAAGTTGACGTGGCCGTTTTGGAGGTAGTTTTTGGACAGCGAGGCGAGCCTGCTCTCGGAGCTGGTCAGCTTGACCGGCGTGTGGAAGAGATGTGACGGCGGGAGGTGAAACGAACGACGGATGCCGTTTTTGGAAGGGTGGGCGGGTTTACTGAGCGAGATCGATACCGTGGAAGTCGACGGTGCTCGGGAATGTTGGAGAGTTGGGATTGTTGTATTCGATACTGTCTCGCTGGTATCGATTTCTTCATCCATATCCGGTTTGATATCGGAATCGTCCGTATCGATAAGTTCACTACGGGTATCGTTTTGTGGAATGGTGCCTTCGATTAACGCTGAAGATACATCTAAATCCGTTGGTGTTTTATGTGACATGTTTTCTTGGACGTCCGCTTCCGGGGTAGCCGGAGTCAGGGACTGTTTTGTGTTTAATTTTAAGAACTCTTCATTGGAAATTGTGAAGGGTTGAGCGGGAGGTCCGCCGTTGATCCGCCCGACCCCCGGGGGACTGTTTGTCCTGTCCCCGTTAGGACTGACCCCGTTGGTGTGGCGCATGTGGTTGTTGTCTGTGGAGAACTCCCCAGCGGGGACTCGTAGCCCGAAGATCTCTTTGATGGCTCGTTTAATACGGCTGTTGCTGGCGGCGTAGAGGAAAGGGTTGATGCAGGAGTTGGCGTGGCTCATAACGATGGCGGTCAGCAGCGCCTCGTACGGGTAGTAGCAGTCGTCGGGGCAGAAGAGTTTCAGACAGTTGAAGATGTTGACGGGCAGCCAGAAGAGACCAAATAACAATATGACCAGCGCCAGCATCTTGGCCGCCTTGACGTCTTTGTTGAACCCGTCTTGGGCTCGGTGCTGGAAAAGGTTCCTTATAGCTGTCGTCTGCCGCATGTGTCGCCTCACAATGATCAGGATGTAGATATATATACACAGCATGATAAACAAAGGTAGAAGCACCAGCCCGAAAAACTGGAAATACACTAAATATTCGTATGTTATAACTTTCGTGAACTCGCATTTTTGTATGGGGGCGTACCCAGCGTTCCAGCCATACAGCGGAACAAGCCCTAGTAAAAATCCCAATATCCATACCACGATGTTGATATACACAGCCCGGCGTACTGTTAACAGTCTTTGATACAAGAAAGGTTCCTTGATAGCGAGGAACCGTTCTAAAGCCACAGCTAGTAGCATTAGGATGGAGACGTTGGTGAAGATGAGGATAGCGCTGTTGATGAAGACACAGCCGTAGAAATCACTGGGCAGGCCTTTGAAGGACAGCGCCGCGCAGGGCGCCACCAGCACCCCCACGACGATGTCGGCCAGGGCGAGGCTCCCCACGAAGGTGTTGGTGACGGTGTGGAGGCGGCGAGTCCTCCAGATGGCGGCCACCACCACCGCGTTGCCGAAGACGGAGAGGACGCCCACGATGATCTCTGCGGTGATGTAGACGATGGAAATCGCTTCCATGCCCAGAGGTCCGCGCCTCTATACACGGGTGGTCTGGTGGTTGTGGTCCACGCCTCTATATACGGGTGGTGTGGTGGTTGTGGTCCACGCCTCTATACACGGGTGGTCTGGTGGTTGTGGTCCACGCCTCTATACACGGGTAGTCTTGTGGTCCGCGCCTCTATACACTGGTGTTGTGGTGGTTGGTGTCTGTATACACGGGTCTTTTAGTGGTCCGTGTCGCTATACACGTTTTTTTTTGGTTGCGGCCCACGCCTCTATATACAAGTGGTCTTGCGGCCCACGCCTCTGATATAGAAAGTTATAGTGTTCTACGCCTAACACACGGGACGCTAAAGATTCTCGTCCGTTCAACAGAGTATCTAATTCACAGACCCAATGCTCTAATACAGATTATAATACTATCCACTTCTCTTGAATAAATGAATGTGAAAGGTCAACTTCACCGAAACAGAAGAATTATCCAGTGGTCTAATCCAGCAATGAATATCCAATAACAAATATTTTATAACAAATATTCTTCAACAAATATCCCGTCTCGTTAATCCAGGATTGATCAATAGCATTATATTTATCCTAATCCAGTGTCCACATAGACCTGTAGGAAACACGGCTTTGACCGGCACAGAACCGGCTTTGACCGGCACCGGCTGAGACATGCTCCATTGTGTCCAACGGGTGTCAGCAGTTGTACGTCCGACGGAAGTGACGTAATGGTCAAGAGTTCCACGTCTGGTCTCATGACTGGCATAGCTGTGACCTACACTTGGCCTTACGACACCTGTGGCCACCTACACTTGGCCAAGTAACATACCTCTGGCCACCGTATAGGATGGTCCACCTTCACACGAACGATTAGATACACAAGATTTATTGCCGAGCACGCTTTTAATCTTAGAAAATCCAAAACTAAAAATCCAGTTTCAAAATGTCTTTTTAGTTTTAGTACTTCCGAAACTAAATTTCAAATATTGAAAAGATTAAAATAGACGTTGATTTATTTTTGAAAGCGTAAATTGATAATATCATTTTTTGGTATAAATCCTCTTCGCTGATCAAATTTACAAAAAATCCTGAAACGAAAATCTTCCTTATGGAATACTGAAATATTTTCACGTGAATTTATATTATTCCGGTCGCCATAGCAACCTAGTGTTGACACTCCATGTGATAGAGTTAGTCCATGTTACTTCTGGCGACTTCTCGTGGGTTTTTGTGTGCCGTCCACACAACCTATTCTCTCCCTCATCAAGTCTACACTACCACCTTCCACCGCCTAAGTTGTCAAACTACTCCAGATAACCGCTGCCAATACAACACGCAAATACCACAATCTTGATCGGGTTTTCTCCCCTCGCTCGAACTCTCCCGTCGGGAAAGGTAGAAAAAAAAAATTCAAATCACGCCCGCGGCGCATGCGCAGTATCTGATGACTCGCGGGAATATTTGTCCCACTCGTCTTCCAACCGTGGCCCGGTTTCGCAGTGGAGGGGTCCGGAAATCAGCCGTGAAGAGTTGAAATCACGTGACGAAGACCGTGATTGTCTGCTCCTAATCGTACGCTTGTCGTTCACAAATGTCTTGTTTGAAACTTCTTGCAACATTTAATTCACTGACATTATTTTAAGTGTTGGCTTAAGACAATTCACTTGAATTATTATTTAATTATAAATTCGCCAATTAAGTAAATTGTCGATCACTTAGAACATCCCTCTTCATAGTTTATGAAATCTTCAGTCATAGAAATAATTAAATGTCATTCATTGATGCTTTTTTTTAATTGGGATATTTTTCTAATGCAGTTGTCGTTTAAATTAATGTTTTCCAATTGTATTTTTTAATAACTTGCTTCCAGTTTGCGCGTGATGTTGTGATTGTTTTTGTTGTGAGCGAGTTGTTGTGTCTGCTGGATAATTTGATTTGAACAAGCGCGGACGTCATGTGGTTGTTCATTTGCAGGGGCACTCTAGCTTTATGTTGTGCAGTACTTCAAAACGATTCATGTATTCTGTCGACAAAGAAATTTTTTTTTTTAGAATTCCTCAATATATATTTTTATAATTATGTATTAATCCGTACGTGTCAAAAATTTAACCTTTTTCAATTTTATTTATTTTATTTTAAGAATTTTCCAAGTGTTTGTCTGCTTTATTTTCACGACTCAACAACGTACCATAACTCTTGTTTGAGCTCTTAGCCGTGGAAATCTCCCCTTTAGAAATGTGAACAGGAATCCATTTGATCGAACTAGTAAATAGCGAGTACAGGTTCATTTAAGGATGAACAAGCCAAGATAGACGTGCCGAATGTTCGCACCCAAATGCATGATCTAAAGTTTGTTTTGTTGAACTTCTCCTTGTAATCCAAGTTTTTACGATTGTATTTTTTTTTCGTAGATTAAAAAAAAATTGTCTTTTTTTAAAAAGTGTTTGGTGAAAGATGTTTAACTGTTGTAGACGTCAAGGCGATTAGCTTGAGACGATTTGCTTCCCTTGCTTGCTAATCCTGAAAGTATTAAAAGAATAAAAAGAAGATTAGGGGGCTGCATTTTTAATTAATTTAAGTTGGGTGCAGTGATAGATGAGGAAATAATGTTAATTGGTAGGTACTGTTAGGGTTATTGGATTACATACACACGCACACATACACACGTAGTGGGTACTGTAAGTATTATATGATCACACACACACACACACACACATGAACGCACTAGTTACTGTAAGGGCTATAGGATTACATACACGCACACACACACGAACGCACTGACTACTGTAAGGGTTATAGGATGACATACACACATTAGGCACATATATACACACACACACGCAAAAGTACACACGTACACACATAAACACCTACACACCTATACTAACACCAAAGCGTAAAAATATTGAATCCAAAGATAACAAGAATCTAACAAGTGGGCTACACTATTGTGCCGTCCCGGCAAGGAATCGCCCTGGCTTAGTTCATTTTTTTTTAATACTTTAAATAGAATGAGCTTAAACACCAGTAAAAACTGTTAACGTTTTGTATATAGTACAACAGCTACTCCACGTAGTTACCACAGGGGTCATGGTATAAACTCAAGTTTGTCACGTGACCTCGACCTACCCCCCCCCCCCCTCCAATTTATGACCATAAATGATTTATCATTGGGAACCAACTGAAAATCAACGCACTTGAAAATGATGCAATATTTGATAAGGTCTTCTAACATATTATGCAATGTAAATAAATGGACCGAGATTGTGTGAAGCGTAATTAACTATCTTGATAACTAACGTGGTAATCTCCCCTTGAAAAAAAACTATTAGCGTGGGTGCAGTTTGCGTCTGCCTACACAAGATGTCAGGGTTGATGATAACTGTTTGAAAACATGACAAAACGATGTGGGATCGCTAGGTTTTACGCGGGTTGTAGTTCGTATCGGATTTTAACCAATCGATTAGAGTCCAGGAATTTGTTACAAGGTGTGAGGTCTTATCAAATCTTAACGATTTTACATGCGGTTTTTCATGTGTATTTTTTTTTAATTTAATTATAACTTCGGATTTTTTAATTTATTTTTTATTTCGTTTTTTATTTAGTTTTTTCTTTTTTTTAAAATTATTATTATTATTTAGCAACGTTAAGGCTTCTACAGAAAAATAAACATTGATAATGTATTCAACAAACACGCTAACTGACACACACACACACACACACAGACACACACTCTCTCTGGCGAATAACTCGCAGGTCGCAAATACCGGATGTTGACTTGTTTTAATTTTCATCACCCCAAAAAATTGATTGAGATCTGCTCAGCGTTCTGGCCCCTCCCTAACCCCCTACATCGCCACTGGAAGTGTAATCCTCGCCAAATCTCGCTGTTGACATTACATGACTCGTGGTGATTGACGAGTTTCTCGTGTCAATTCTATCCAATCAGCGCGGGGCAATGGTAAAAATAGACAGAGAAATGTCACTTCCGGCGATACGTATGTAAACCTGTCAGGGCCGTCAGCTGAACTTTGACCCCCCCCCCCCCCTTCTCACCCAATACGACGGGCATGAGATGGTTGTTGATGGGTGCTTTGCGATGGCGTGATGGGTTTGTTGATTTTAGTCAGGTAAAATTTGGGTCGCATTTGGCCGTAAATTATTAGACCGTTTGATTTGTGATTCATAGTTTCATTTCGTGTTTTAATGCACGAGATTGCTCAATTTTTTACACCCTTGATATACATAAATAAACACATACACGCACACACGTATATATATATATATATATATATATATATATATATATATATATATATATATATATATATATATATATATATATATATATATATATATATATATATATATATATATATATATATATATATATATATATATATATATACAGAGAGAGACATAGACAGATAGACATAAATATAGGCATACAACATAGACATAGATCTAGATATATAAAGAACTCAAAGAACTGTTACGGTTTTAATATCCTGTATAACATAACAGTTTTCAGCATAGGCTGTAAAATATGTTTTATCATCTATACGCTAAACTATCTCTGGATAGACTTCTAGCTAAAAAGTAACACTATCTGTTTAAATTATTAGAGATCTTGCAGATATTTAACACACAACTTCGACAAACCCCCAACGCCTTGGTAAATAGCTAAATGTATTAATAGCATAGACGGCAGTTGTAGTGTTATGTGAGTGGATGACGGTAAACACTGCAATGTGCTTGGCCCTAAAGTAAGCCACAGAACTGATTCACCGACCATTCCTCCCTTCTTCCTACAGACTAGACCCCGGATGTTAAAAATTATTTTGGTCAAGCTTTTTTTCACATTAAATGGACCGTGAGAGTGAAAAAAAAATGCATTAAAAAAATTTGAAATGCCGTGAAAATGAAAAAAAAATCCATTAAAAATGAAAATTGCCGTGAAAACGTGCTCATCCATGCACGTGAGTGTGATCAAAGAGACGCGTGCTCACGTGTTGAAATCGCAGAGCGTGTAGACGTTAGAGAGGTTCTACTACACACCCGGGTTTAATTACCTGACGTAGTGGCGGGGTAAGGGGCTGACTGGGCGGCTGCAAGACCCGTTACAAAATGGATACCTTTTTTGTTGTTAAGTGTGTATTAAATGGGATTTCCTAAAACGAAGTTAATTATTACATGTCAATATGTTAAGCGTCTTCATCATATTTTCATTTTTTGACCATATTTTAGACTACTGGTTTTAATATAACTTAAGTATACGTTTTATGGCCTTTTTATTGCAAATTCAGACTGCTGTTATGCGCCATATAGCTCGGAGACTCGATTTCAGTCTGATTTTTTTTCATAGCCTTTATCCAACCAAGAAAAAACTACAAGGCAGCAGATGTTTTATTTTGAACTTTTTTCTCTAAGATGGGTTGATGTCCCCAGATATCGAGCCTCATTTGATTGGGGATTTTAACTCGGGACTTTTGGAGTTAGCAATTATATAAAGCGTGTTCTCATAAAGCACACCGAAATGTTATCTTATATCAGTGGAAAAGGTTTAAATATTTTTTCTAAATAATATGCACACGGTGTCCAGAGAAAAACTACACTAAAAATTACACACTAAAAAAGTACGACAGAATAAATTACACCAATAAAAAAACTACACAAAGAAAAAAAAATACACATAGAAAAAAAAATAAGTAGGCCTACACAGAAAAATTACACATTATAAAATGTACACGCACAAATATCACACAGAAAAAAACGACACACGAAAAAAATGACACATAACATCCCTATACTAGCTATGTTTACGCCTTCCTTGATGAAACATGCACACTTACGTGTGATTATGTAGGTCATGTGACCTATATTTCACAATGCTCTTAAAATAGATTTTAAAAAATTATTCCCAGATTTATCATTCACGTATCGATTTATACCAATATGCCCAGCTTCTGTTTCCTTAAGCTCCATTGTCTTCTTGTATTTGATCTGGCTCTAGACCAGGGGTCTCCAAACTTTTCAGTCCGAAGGCCGCTTTAACTATCAAATTTCAGTTCGGGGGCCAGTTTCTTCCAGGCATGTCTTTTATTTTTCTGGACAAAGTTCCTCAGCCATCACCAACAAACGATTTTTCCTTGGACAAAAAGATCTCCGCGGGCCGGATGAGAGGACTTCGCGGGCCGCATCCGGCCCGCGGGCCATAGTTTGGAGACCCCTGCTCTAGACGAACTATAGCTGGTTCTAAAATGTAATCAGCCCAGTGGTTCAGCTAATGTGGTTTGTTGATAGAAGATAGAAGAGTGGTGGGGAGAGAGGGGGGTCTTCTCGTTGTCACCGATGGTTTATTTTTCTATCAAATATCAAGTATACCATCGTAGAGTTTGACCCATTCATATAAGTGTTTGTTTTACAATAACTTTTTTTTATTGTCAAAATCATTCAAACTATTGATAGAGAATGTACAATGTGCCACGGAAAGGGGTGCTACTGAAAGTAGTAGGGGGTGGGGGGGAGTGTTATTTTTTTTTTTTTTAACTAGAAGGTTGAAAACTAGTCTACCATACTGCAACGACACAAATCAATGAAACTGCTCAAAGTTTACCAGCAAACAGACCGCTCTACCCCAAGAAAGTAATTTAGAAACAAGCCACGTTACCTCTCCAAGAGGGTCGCACTAGAGAGAGCTATAAATAGAATCGGGAACTCGTATACCAGCATTAGATTTTTCCCCCTGCCGTTTTCATTAAACTGTTCCAACTCAACAAGTGTTCTTGTTCCGTCTCCAAATTTTTAATTAACCAGGAAACACAAGGCAGGGGAGATAAAAAAAAACCCAGGGGCGATAAACGCTGAGGATATGCATGTCGCTAAGCAATCGCCTGTCCCCCCTCGCGGCCATGTTCGATAGGGGCAATAACTCTCGCGGGGCTACGAGAAGGGGCAAGAAATACGATGCCGTGATGAAAGGGTTGCTCAAGGAGGCTCGAACAATTAATGTCAGGGTGT